AGATTTTTTAATGATCAAGACTAACTTTTACTTTTTATCACACCCTGATCGGTTTCAAGACCGAAATTTTGTAATCTCATTCTACCCTGTTGTAACTTTAATTTTTATTCTACCCTCATCGGTTTCAAGACCGAAATTTTGTATATCTCATTCTACCCTGTTGTAATTTTTATTTTTTATCAAACCCTGATCGGTTTCAATACCGAAATTTTGTATATCTCATTCTACCCTGTTGTAACTTTTAATTTGTATCAAACCCTGATCGGTTTAGACACCGAAATTTTGTATATCTCATTCTACCCTGTTGTAACTTTTATTTTTTATCAAACCCTTATCGGTTTAGACACCGAAATTTGGTATATCTCATTCTACCCTGTTGTAACTTTTATTTTTTATCAAACCCTGATCGGTTTCAATGCCGAAATTTTGTATATCTCATTCTACCCTGTTGTAACTTTTAATTTGTATCAAACCCTGATCGGTTTAGACACCGAAATTTGGTATATCTCATTCTACCCTGTTGTAACTTTTATTTTTTATCAAACCCTGATCGGTTTCAATACCGAAATTTTGTATATCTCATTCTACCCTGTTGTAACTTTTATTTTTATCAAACCCTGATTGGTTTCAATACCGAAATTTTGTATATCTCATTCTACCCTGTTGTAACTTTTAATTTTTATCAAACCCTGATCGGTTTCAATACCGAAATTTTGTATATCTCATTCTACCCTGTTGTAACTTTTAATTTTTATCAAACCCTGATCGGTTTCAATACCGAAATTTTGTATATCTCATTCTACCCTGTTGTAACTTTTATTTTTTATCAAACCCTGATCGGTTTAGACACCGAAATTTTGTATATCTCATTCTACCCTGTTGTAACTTTTATTTTTTATCAAACCCTGATCGGTTTAGACACCGAAATTTTGTATATCTCATTCTACCCTGTTGTAACTTTTATTTTTTATCAAACCCTGATCGGTTTAGACACCGAAGTTTTGTATATCTCATTCTACCCTGTTGTAACTTT